CGGATACAATAAGAAAGTGCTTAAATCCAGGCTGTATAAAAATGTGTCTGTTTTAAGTGCACATAAAGCCTGTCCTTTACTTGACTAGAACATGGAAACATGCCCAGATGTTTTAGCTTTGTAATTCGAGCATTTCCTCCTCTGTTGTAGGTAAATAATTGGCACCCCTCAGTTTTGTTTCCTGTAGGGAGTGTTGTTCGTGTTGTTGTTGCTTTGCATACACACTTTGTTGAATTCATAGGAAAAGAAATACATTCATTTTACTCCAACCAGCTGACAAAATGTGTCATATTGCGTGTGCTTGGGCTGTTGCCATGTCACCAGGAGCAGAGAGCTCACAGAGCCTCAGCTTGGGCATTGCTCTGACTACGTCTGTCTTCTGAGACAGATGCTCCAGCAGTAGCAATGCCCATGAAGCTTCTCAATCACCAGGTGGTTTTTTAAAGAAAGACACGAAAAACTGCTGGGTTATGTGACCAGCTGGGCTGAAGAACACATGCTCCAAGGCCATGGACCTGCTTCCAAGGTGACAGAGGTAAATGAGAGGATCCACTTTCGGTGCTGTGTTGGTGTTCTGCCAGACATCTGCACATGATCTTGTTGCTAACAGCTTTTGCACAACCCCGTTATCATGAGTAGTGGGAAAATGTACAGGAGACGTGAGAAGGGGAGAATTTTCTCAGCTGTGGTGGTGAAGTTTTTTCTGAGGCACTTCCGCTGACATCAGCTGCATGACTGAAAGGGATTTCTCCAGGTCACAGAGTTCTGTGTGCTGCTATCACAGGCAATTGTTTCCTGTCCTTCTGCCCATTAATTTGTCCATCTCTTGCTGAAAGCAAGTTGGATTATTTTCCAGCTCCAGTGCCTGCTTTCTGCAACTCCTTCCTTTCCATCTCCTTTCATAGCCAGCACATTTTTCAGTTATGCCAGCTGTGATCTTAGCAGATCCCAAAGTACACGGTGCAGTCGGGATGAGGCTGTCCTTAGGAATTCTTCCTTGTGACTGAACAACCCTGCCTGCCCTTGAAGCCCAGCCTGGCATGCTGTGCTCCTGCTCTCCTCCTCCAGAGACCTGGAGTTCGTCCAACACTGTGGCTTTCACCATCATCTTCCTCCACCCACTCCAGCTCCAGTCAAGTTCATAAACTTCAAGCTGGTGACTGAATTTCCTCCTGCCGCTTCTTCATAATAGTGTGACCTCAGTCGTGTGTGTCTTCAATGGCTGGACGCTGTCTGCAAGCCGAAGCCTCTCCCCTTTGTTCTTCTGTCTGCATATGGCTCTGTTCAGCTCTCCTGCTACCCACTGTGTTCTCTGCCAATCACCTTTATCCCCCAGTTCTCTGTTGGTTTAGCTTTTCTTCCCGGAGACCCAGCTGTTCTTCTCCACTTTGTTATTCCCAGTCTTCAGTTTCTTCTTGTTCTGCATTGTGTCAAGCCTCTTTGTCAGTTTTATTTCATAGTTACTGGTGTTTCTCCCTGTCCACCCTGGGAGCTGACCTTCTGTGGTCACGGTGCTTTGGAGAGGTCTTCTTGTTCAACAGGTCTCTGCAAACCTTACATTGTCTGTTTCATTTGCACTTCATCTCTCTTCAGCCATATCTGAAGATCCCCTGTCTGAATTTGTTTCAGTTCTTTCCAGCTCGTTTCTAGAACTCAGCTCCGCGCTCAAGGTACTTCAGTCGAGGCAAACAGTTATCTGCAGTCACAGCCCCTTCATTCTTGCATATCATCATCCTCTTTGTCTTCTCCAGTCTTTGGATTACATCCACCAGAAGCTTTCCTTCTGCTTTTCCCTCCCTCCTGAGCACTCGCATCCCAAAAAATAACAAAAGGGGATGAAAAATCACCCAGGTTCTCTACCTATAGGCTGTCTTTTTCTGCCTCTGACTGTCCGACTGCTTGCTTGCTGGTAGCTTGGCTTTTGCCCAGTGAGTCCCGCTGTCTCCGTGAGGTTTGCCTGTGACACGCCGGTGAGAAATGATGAGGGGCAGAAAGCAAAGCTGCCCTCACATCTCGCTTGCAGATCCCACTTCCAACATGCGCAGCTGGCAGGCAGCCCCAGGGCAGCACGAACCACAGTCACAGCCCAGCAGCAAGAAGCCAGCAGGCAGGAACGCGTCTGCAAACACACACGTAAGACCTTGCTCCTGTCTCCTTCAAGAAGTCCCAGTGGCAATAGGACGATGCCTTCCTAATAATGCCTGGGATCCTTCTTTGTAAGCATGCTGGTGTTTTATGTCCACATTAGTTTTCTCTCTGGAGATCTTTTGTGTGCACTTCAAATGACAAATCCACACTATTGGAGAATCATTGTTTTTGCTTTTGTATTATGTTTTATTCATCGCAAGCTCTTATTTTAATGTGATTATGTTACCAGTTGAAAACAGGCCACATGTGGCATTTTACACCAAATTGCTATAAACGGATAAACCCTGGCAAAAAATCAGGTCAGCAAACCGGTGCAGAGATGATGCTTGTGCTTCTGAGTGATGTGGGTGGATGGAAGATGTGGCCATAGGCCTCATCTTGTTTTGCTGCTAAACAGAGACTTGATGTGCAGAATTAATATTTCTGCAGCAAGTTCTGGATCATCTCTTGTCCTTCAGCCTGGTTCCTATAGGTTAAACAGTGAATGGTGAGGAAGGGCTGGTAGTATCCTCATCTACATTGTGTACTTGGATAACATGAAATATTGCCGTGACTCTCTTTATGAATGTTACTGCTATTAAATATTTATATAACGGACATACTCAGAGTCCTGTCTAGGGCTGAGGCCATATTTCTGTCCCCATCCTTTGGAGAACAGCAGGCTGAGCAAAAGGTGGTTCATTTTACACAGCACAGACGGTACCACGTGCATTACCACAAGGTGCAGGGGAGGCCAGCATGTCAATGAGGTAGAAAATAATCTGGGAAATGAAAAAATTAAAGTGTGGAAATTCCTCAAGTCCAGAGTGTCTGAAGTGAAGTGCTACAGCACGGCCTCTCCATTTCACTTTGCATCTGCTGGTGACCATGTGGAAAAACCAAGACCAGAATTATCAGTGTGCCACAGTGCCGCCATCCCCACGGCTGGGGCCCAGCAGAGGGACTGCAGTCAGATTGGGTGCCTGCTGGGTGCCATGTCCTGCTCTTGGGGAAGGAAGAATGCCCCAGCAGGAGCTGGCATAGATGGGACTCTCCTGGAGCATTACCTCTGTGCTTCAGAAAGACCAGAGTAGACAGGAATGCTGATCTGTCTGTGTTGTAAAGATGCCAGTCTGATCATCCACAAATGCTCTTTGAGTGCTTTGAAGTGAACCCGTGAGCAGCAGGTTGAGATGTGTGAGCATCCATAGCCAAGTACTGTGGACTCCAGCCCGACCCACCTACAGTCAGTTCACATGGAAGGTCTCTTGCACCTCTCAAACCATGAAGGTGTGCAAAACCCATCGAGCAAATTACAGTTCTGTTGGATATCCTTAAATAATAACTCAGCTTTTCCTTCACACAAAGCTTTCTCATGCCACTAACAGCACTCCCAGCTCGCTGGCTCACATATTGCTTCACCCTCTCATTCAACGGGCCGGTGTTACTAAGGAGGCATGATGTTATAGACTGTTCCTCAAAAACACTGAGCAGCTTTCATGCTTAAAAGTTAATCTACTTCAAGTTACACATAAGTACTCCAGCCTGGTGTGTGGTTTGGAGCTTGGAGCTCCTCAGCTGAGCTCAGCTGCCTTTTGTCAGCCTTGGTGGCAGCCCGGGGTGCCAGCGAGGGAGAGAAGGCTTACTGGAGGCAGCGATTTGTCGTGAGCTTTGAAAGATGGATTTGCATCGAAGTAAAACTCGGCGGGTTAGTTAAATATTCTTCTAAATATGCAAAGGAATTGGGTTACTGGTGCTTGTTATTCTTATCTTACTCTTCGTGTCACAACATCTTTAAGTTCGGTGAAGGTTTTGCTTACTAAGACGGTTGTAAAGATTTCACATTAATTAAGAGGCCTTCACTGCAAATCTGAATATGAATGAAGTTTGGCTGCTGAACCCAGGGCAGTGAGTACTGTGGGAAGACGAGGCATTGACAAATGTTGATTTAAAAACAAAACAAAAAAACAGTGCTTCCATCTATTACCTGTTCTGAGATAGAGAGGAAGTTGAGTTCAGGTTGCCAGAAGTTACAAGCAGATTCGGTCTTTGCTTTCTGGTTGAAGAGGTGTGGTCCCACTCATCTGGTTGTTCCCTGCTGCCTGTGCCAGGACTCAGCTGTGTCTCTCCACTGCACCACGTTCCTCTCCTTGGGCGGGCAGCGATTTCAACATGGGGCATCTTCAGCAGAGCAATGGAGAGAACCTGGCCCTGATCTGGATCCTGGGTTTGATGCCTCCAAGAAATGATGGATGCAAATAGGACCAAGATGAATTTTAACATGGTATGGACTGTGAGTGCTGGCAGGTGGCAAGGGAACGAGAGCAGCTCTCTGAGGAAGGAGTTCTGTGTTTTCAGTGAAAGATGAGGCTAGAGATACTTATTGCAGAAAGCTCCTTAGGTGAAGTTTCTCGTGCGTGGCAGTGCCTGGATGAGGAGAGTGCTATCTGGCAGCTTGCGCGAGCTGTTATTACTCGGGACATCTGAGTTTTTCTTCCAACTCTGCCACAGAATTGCTGTTGTCAGATCTGGGGTGAGTCCCCTCCTCTCTGTGTGTCTGCTAACCTGTCTGCCAGATAGGGATAATAACGCTTACCTGCTTTTGCAAAGCAATTTCAGGTGACATGAAAGGCGCTTTGGAAGTGTAGAACACCACTCCACCTTCTAAAGTGGGACTTTGGGGAAGGAAATTGGGATATATATCATTTTAACCCTGCTGAAATGTGTTGGACTTGGCTTTTGGAGTGGAAAAATGAAAATACGATAGCCTAAATAAATAGCATTTGTCCTCTTAAGCAGGGCAAGGGCAGCATGTAATGTCGTGTGTTTATTTTTATTGTTGTTATTTTTTATTCACGGTTCCTTGAGCTGAATTTGGGAATTGTACTGACTGTGGTTATGTTTCTGGAAATGTGCAGGTTGGCCAGATGCAGTGGGGCATGGAATGAACAGAAAGAGGTTAAATTGATGGATGACCAACAAGAGCAGGATTGTGCCTCAGAAGACCAAGAAACTATCCTGATTAATGGGGTGAAAGAAAATGGTAAGGAACTTAATTACAGCACGTGAGGGAGCAGTGACAACTCACAAGCCAACTTATTTTTCTAATTCCTTTCATATATTTAATTTTAGTGGTTTGCAAGTATCTCTACAATGTGGAGCAGTAGAGTAAATGGATATTTTCTGTACTCCAGCTATGGATGTACAGCTTTTTAGGTCTTAACAAGTACTGCTTTTGCCCATGCATATGCATGGTTGGAAATGTTTTTGTGCACACGCAGTTTGAATTATAGATTTTAGTTTGGTTTCCTAGGGAAAAAAAGTCTTATGAGATTATGCATCCCCTCTGTTGGGAATCTTTCCCCCTCTTCACAATTACATAAGCCACTCTCAGGCAGATTTGATGGAGGATTTTCAGTTCCTACAAATTTAAGGCAAGTTGGAGCTTGGGCAGAAGTAAGAGAGCTGGGTTGGCTGTGACCGGTGGGGAAGGTCAGACCTGGGAGCTCAGTGCTACCTTTGTTCTGCAGCCCATCGCTGGCCAGCTTGGCCTGTAACACCTGTGTTCAGGAGTTGTACTGCTGGTCATGGTCACCATCCTGAGAGCCCCTGCAACACTGCTGGGAACAACCAGCCTCTTCTAGCAGCCTGCCCCAAGGATCTGACTAATGTTGGCGTAATCTATTCCTTACTTGCTTTCAAAAACACTAGGTAGGTAGGAGTAGCAGGCGCTGTGTTGCCTGAAAACCTGATTGAAATAAAAGTCCTCAGAGCATTTTTTTGTGTCATTTATTTGGCCTTCCTGTCAGTAGCCACAGTAAGTGCAGCAGCAGTCTGGTGTTGAAACACAGCTCAGTGTTTTCAGTTCTTTGTGTTTTCATGGTTAATTTCATGGCTTTTCAGAATTTGTATTGACCTACAAATCTTGCACTGTGTGTAAATTGGTCCCTGTAAGGTGTCTAGTATTCTGTTCTCCAGTGCCGTGTGTGTTCAAATCCTTCTGTCTTGTCACCGTGAGGTTTACTCTAGTGAGAATGCACAGAGGCGAATGTTGTTCTCATTCATTACTGAAAACCTGGACCAACTCCAGACACGCAGGTGCCCTGAGGTCCCCACAGCATGTGCTGGTGGCAGGTGAGGAGTACGCCGGCGCTTTCCTGTACGATGCAATTCTGAAGATCTCTGTCTTCACCAGCCCATCGCATTCAGAAACGCAGACATGAAGGCAGGATGTAAAGCCACTGCTTGTGGCAGCTGCAGGAGCTACAAGGAGGTTTTCCAGCCACGCTCCCCTCATCTCATCTGGTAGACAGTACCTCCTCAGTAAAGACTGAGGTGATTTCTAGAACCTGACACCACCTCTGTGAAATTCAATTAAACGGGTCTTAATTAAACATTGTCGTGTAGGAGTTGCTGCTGAATCCCAAGCAGCGAGTCGCTCTAATGCCACCACTTCCCTGTTGATGACATAGGGGCGTTGCTTCCTGAATCATCTCACCCTCACTGTAAGCTGGTGCTCACTGCACTGGTCAGGCTTAATCCAGAGCAGCCCGTAGGCTGCTGTAATGCATCCTGGGGATGGATGGGCCTCCTTTTGGAGCTGATTCATAGTGATCAGCGTTCCTCTGCTAAAGCTGCCTGTCTGATTTGGGGCAGTTAAACCTGAAAAGGTTTTTTGGTGTTCCAGTGCTTTTCTTTTTTAATGGCAGTCTTCTTGGAGTGTTATTTACTTTGGAGTTTCATTGATTGCATGCCTGATTTTAGAACAATAAAACCTCTACAAAATCAAGTTTGGGTATTTGTATTTCACAAGAGTTAAGTTCACTTCTACAAGTGTAAACCTTAAAAAAAAAAACACCTACAGACAATATATTTTATATTATAGCATCACTGTGTAAGACTGAATTTCAGCTCTCCGCCTCCCCCTTTCTTCAAGTGCTGCAGCATTCATAGTCTTCTTTTATCCTCAAATTTTCCATGCTTCCTCTCAGCTTCTTTTATTTGTAAGGTGGAAGTACATTGGTTAATTTGTTTTGCTGCTTAAGGAAAAAGATACCACCTCTGCATTTCTAATCTAAAAATGGTGGGAGGAACCCGAAATGAGCTTTATTTTGCTTTTTAACCCTTGTTGAGGGAGGGAAACAGCACCAATTTTCAGCAAGTCTGTCTGTTCAGGATGCATACAGGCATTGCATTGCATTTCTTATTTGGTTTGTTTAGCATTTTTTAAGTTGTTCAAGCCTATTCTGTAGCTTCCTCTTCCTGACTTAAGTCTTCAAGGATGGCTCCATTCCTGAGACTACCGGGAGCCCAGAACTAGAGGCAGCTTTTGGGGCCAGATCGGTGGGATTTTGGGGAACACGTGCAGCAGAGCAGCTCCGTACTGTGTAGCGGGGTGCTCCTTCCATGTTTGCCAGCTCTGTGTGAGCATCCCAATCCCAGCTGTGCTGGAGAAGCTGCTGCCCCATCTTCCTGGTTGGGCCAGGGCATGCCCCTCCACGTTCTTTTCAGTGCTCCTCCGCTCACAAAGAGCAGGGCCTTGCCCCACAAACCCGCAGCTTTCCATGAAATGGCCAAACAGGTAAGACGTGCTGGGATGTGAGCACTGGGACTCACCTTGAGAGTAGCAGAGGTCTCTGGTTATTATGAATCACACATTTGTGTATTTTTTTAATATGGAGATATCAGAGCATGTTCATGGATGAAAAGACATTTCCATTTCAAGGGTCATACCATCTGCTGAGCCAGAAGCCAGATAAATAATTTTTACTTTGCCATAAAAATCTACTATAAGGCAAAGAAAATAAAAATCCTTAAGCTAAAAAAAAAAAAAAAAAACACCTTACATAATGCAAAAGACATTTTAAAGATTAGGCAAAAAGGAAAGAACTGCAAAAAGAGCAGTAATTCTAATAATTGCTTTAAGCTCTGCACTGCTGCCTGCTTTCCCTGCACACGGACAGTGGCAGGAAGGCTTCTGGATTTAAATCAGCCCAAACTCTGTGACCCTGCAGCAGCTCAGGTGCGTTTCAGCTGCAGGCACTGCCAGGAGGATGTTTTGTTTCTTTAAGAATCTTATTTTTCTATTAATTTTGTAAATGTTAATGGGAACATTTTTATTAGCGTTGTTTTGTTTTTTAATAACCTTGTCAGATTTGAAAGGCAGTATCCAGGTAACGGTATGTATATTAGGAGGAAAGAACGGATGGTTTCGGTTTTTTAAACATAATCTTGTACCTCTTCCAGCTGGCTGTGGGGGGCAGAGTGTTTACCTCTTTGGTTTTTGTACATCACGAAATTAATTAGCTCTGAGAGTGTGATCTTGCGGGAAGGAGCCTGCAACCCTGCAGAGGGGAACAGTCACCCCTGAACCCAGGGAGAGGGGGAGCAGGGTGACGGGGCCGCAAGATCTGTAAACTCTCCTTTTTCTCCCTTCCTCTCCTCCCACTGCTCCAGAGCTACGAACCTCGGACGGCGAGGAGAGGCCATACAGTGTTGCCGACACCACCGACGCCTTCCCAGCCCTGACAGCAGCCCCAAAGGAAACCCAGGCGTGCCACCGTGTGCTGCCAGCCCTGCCTGCAAAGAAGCCCTGCTCGTTGAGCCCGCCGTCCCCACTGCGGCTCACCGATGTCCCTGAGCACACCTCAGACGACTCCTCGGCACACGCCATCTCCCTCACGTCCTGCGTGACGAAGGGCATGAGCTCCTGGTCTCTGCCGGGCGACTGTGAGAAGGCTCCCTTCAGCATGATGGAGCCTGGAGGCATGTCCGCCCTGACCGGAGACTGCCTGATGCAGCCGAGCAGGACCTGCCTGGGCTGCTTCATTGAATCAAAGGACGGCATTGATGCGGAGCCGGGAATAAGCTTGAAAGTGGGGGATATAAATAGGGATTATGACACCTGTTCGGTCTCTGATATAGGGATTCACTGCATGAGCACAGGAGAAACCATGAGATATGGGGATCAACTGCTTTCAGACCAGCTTTTAAGCTTCCCTATGCATAAATCGAGGGCAGCGGACAAAAGAGATGCAGAGAAATCTGACAGTGATTCAGAGGACCCCACTCAGAAAAATTATTACGAGGGATTACTATTAGACAAATGCAATGGTGAGGAACCCTTACTAACAAATCCCAACCAGGAATGGGGCTATTTTGAATCTTTCATTAGTGAAAGTAAAATTGAGCTGCTTGACCTATGCTCCAAAAATGAGCTTTCTGTAAATCTGTTTTCTGAGGAAGATGTGGATAATTACATGTTTGATGATGATGATTCGACCTTGGGAAGCGACGTCTGCTCCTTAAAGATCAGATACGAGTCGTTCCAGGACAACGTGCGGGAGAAGACCACCGCCCTACAAGAGGATGCCCAGTTCAACTTCTTCCCCAGCGTCTTCGGCAACTGCACCAAAAGGGACAGCAGGAGCACCCTGAAAAGGGGACTCGGTGGTGCCACCGACCCTTCTCAATTCAAGTCCGAAGAAGGCATCATCTGGGGGGAAGAGGTGGAGGATGGCGAGGAAGAGGATGGCGAGGAGGAGGAGAAAGCTGCCTTAAATAAATCTTGCAACAGCACAGAAGTGGTGCAGTACGTGGGCCCCAAAAGGAGCCACTTCTTGGACTCTGTGAATTCCACAGAGGACTCTGGGGAGTTCAGCGATGACAGCACATGCACAGAGTCCTCCTATGATGTGCTGCGGGATATAAAGGACTGCAGCCGGTACCTGTCCCGGGACCACTCCAGCTCCTTCATCCAGCAGAACTACGGGCTGCGGGCAAAGAGGAAAGTGCGATACAGTGATGACTACCTGTATGACGTGGACTCCATTGAGAATGAGAAGATCCTGGACAAGAAGGAGTGGCTGCCGGACGGGCCCAAGGAGGAGGATGACGACGAGTGGTGCCCCAAGAAACGGCGAAAAGTCTCTCGCAAGGAGCCCCCTGTTATCATCAAGTACATCATCATTAACAGGTTTAAAGGGGAGAAGCATATGCTGGTGAAGCTCAGCAAAGTGGATGCCAACGAGACAACTGTTACCCTGAATGAGGAGCTGCTCAGTAAATATGAAAAGCTGGCCCCATTGAAGGGCTTCTGGCAGGAGAGGCAGCAGAGCCGGCTGGATTTGCTCAGATCGTCTCTCTACCACAAGCAGAATTTCTATCTTAACGGTTCAGATGCTTCGTTCCTCCCTCACCCACGGAAGCGAAAATGCAAGCTAGCAAACAGGCACAGGATTCAAAGAATTAAAGCCATTGAGCAGTCAGTGAACAAGCTGGGCTCTTGCTCCTCTGATCACAAGCAGCCTTGCAGCAGTAAGGAGGATGCAGGCCTGAAAGGGCTGCAGGCATTAGCCATTGCCACCCCCAGCTGTGCAAATGGATTACACGTAAATGACATCACGGACATCGCTGCTGTGAAATGCAAATCGCAGGAACGAGAATACAAGGGGACGGAGAGGAAAGTGCTCCGCCGGATCAAATTCAAAAGTGAAGCCAGGTTGAAATGTAAGAAAATCAAAGCTGCTGCCAGCGTGGCAGAGGGTTGCCCGGCTCTGGGAAACCAGGACTCTGCAGTGCATCTGAAGGATGAAAACGTTCCTTGTGCTTCAGACAGCTCCCATCTCCCAGAGTGCCATGAGGATAAGATTGCTAAAAATTCTCCTTTCCTACCATCCACCTCCTCTTCAGACAAGCCTCTGCCATCTGCTAATATCACTACCAATGTACCCCTGATCCCTGGAGGGTATCTGCAGACCCTGTTAGACGCTTCGGATTTGTCGAGCAGCACCGGCATCTCATACTTCACACAGCATCCCTCTGAGCAGCAGCACCCACTCCCCAGCATCATCCCAGCAGACAAACCATTCGCTGCTCTGCAGCCATCGCAGAGCTGTGTGCTGTCCCCGCCGTCTGAGTCTGAGCTGCAGCAGTCTCCTGGCCACCTGGAGATGGAGCAGAGCACCTTTGGCAGTGTGTGGCCGGCCAGCAAGGCTGCTGGGAGCAACCGGCAGGAATTTGCTGGCGAGCTGCAGGATACCGCAGCACTGACAGGCGAGTTTGGTGGTGCAGCAGGCACTGATGGCCTCCCGGCCTCTGGCTACCCTCAAGTCAATCTGAATAGCAGCAAGTTGCTCTACCAAAAAAATTACATGCCGGATAGCCAGCAAGTGCAGCCTGATGATTCTTATCAGTCGTGTCATTTTAATAATGGAGAGGGGCGCTTTCATTTCCAGCGAGGTACACTAAGTACAGATGATGGCAGACTCATTAGCTTTGATTCAGTGGGTTCATTGTCAGTTAGTTCTAGCAATTACAGCTCTTTAAAGTCCTGCGAAAAGGATGGTGACGATGATATTAATGACGATTTCTTGGCCCACTGCAGTCCCAAGCTAGTGATCCAGCAAAGCATAGATGAAATAACCCCTTTGAAGGAGTCCACGGACCTTTTAGACATTTCCAACTTCACACCCGATAAGTTCCGCCAGTCATCGCTCTCGGAGATGTCCCCTCCAGACACTCCCAACCTTTCCCCACAGATAGCTGGCTCCGACACCAAGCCCTTGGGCACCCTTAAGGGCTTCCCGGAGAGTGCCCAGGCTGCTCTGAGCAGCTCCGAGAAGGTCAAGTGGAACTGCGGGGTCTTGCAGACCGAGGAGCAGGCAGATAATGGGTTTACTTTAAATAATCACCAGTTTCAGTTCCATATGTTCAACGATGAAGATTCTGTCAGCCTTCTTGAAAAAAGACCATGCTTGTCAACATTTAATGAGCCATCTGGTCAAATTAGCACCAATAGCAAAGTGTCGAAATCTAAGAGGAAAAGTTCATCCAGCAAGAATGCGGGTACAAACCAAAGCTCTTCCCAGAAAACCACTAGGAAAAAATCTCCCAAAACCAACAAAGGCACCGACAAGCCGCAAGGGAAGAACTCTAGGCAGGCACCCAAATCCACCAGGAAGGGGAAGAACGCAGCGAGCCTCAGCAGCGAGAAGGCCCAAGTGGGTGGCAGCAGGGCCGTCAGCCAGCTGGCCAGCCCAGCCTCGGCGCCCAAGGGGCTGGCTGAGGGCATTCAGCACAGCAGCCCAGCCACTGGCAAGCTGGGCAAGCACAACGGCCTGGCTGGAGAATGGGCACTGGGGAAGGACAGTGGCACAGCCTGGTCAGAAACAAGCCTTGGGAGCACCACAGGCCTGCTGGATGATGACCAGAGGGAGTTCGAGGAGCCCTCCAACATCCTGTCCAACATTGCCTCGGGAATGGCAGACGTCCAGAGGTTCATGATGGCCTCCATCGAGCCCCTGTGGGGACCTGTCAACCACAACAGCGTGCCAGACATATTCCGATCACCCGAGTCGAACAGCCTGAAACTGAAAACCCTTAAAATTTTAGCAGGGACGCCCCAAGAGTCTAAGAAGAAGGCGAACAGCAGCTCGCCGGGAGTGGCAAAGAACCATAAGTCAAACAACAAGGGCTCGAGTAAAAACAGCAAAGCAGCCACCTGCGACCCTGGTCGCCCCAACTGTTCAGCTGGGTACAATACAGACATTCACTCTCCCTTTTTTGATAAAAACTATAGTAACCTGAGCACTTTAGGCAATAACGGACCTACCCATAAAAAACTGTACCGTCATAAATCAAGTTCTAAATCACTGAGGGATGAGAACTGTAAGATAAAGCGAACAGACCGGGAACAGACCCATAAGGACCCACCTGTGACAGCTTCTTTTGAGAAACTGAGGTAATGCTGCACCAAACTGGCTGGAATGCCCCTTTAACTTTCCTACTACCTGCTAAGCCCGCTGTTCCTCATTTTTTCCTTCCTGAAAGCAAAAGTTGCATGAAAAAGACATTCCCCTTTTACAGTTTTTGGTTTTTTTTTTCTTTTCTTTTTTCGTTTTTTTTTTTTTTTCTTTTTTTCTTTTTTTCTTTTTTTAAATGCATGAAAATACTTATTACTTGCAAGCTACCTAAAAGAATGACCAATTTTCTGGCTTGGCTGGGGTTATAAAAAAAAAAAAACAAAACAAAACACTAACAAGGCTACTCTTTTCTGCTGTTTGGCTTCTTCAGTTTTTAATTCCTTATTTATTGGGGGGGAAAAAAAAAAAAAAAAAAAAAAGATTACACGATCTTTTTAATGATTTTGAAAAGGAAAGACTTTTTTTTGAACATTTTGTAAAAAACAAAACACAAAAAAGAGGTTATGCATCCAAAAGCCAAGATCTCTAAACTAAAGGCTCTTTAGTTTGAAAATGAAAACTCATTCATAATTGAGCTTCATGTGGCAATTTTGAGTGCTTTCTAGCCCCCTCTGCTGTTTATCTCCTAACCTGCATCATAAAGCTTCATCTCCTGTGTCAGAGTTTAGCACATTTGATCCTGTCGTGGTGACTCCACACAAGCTAACTAAGATGGCATAAAATGTTTGGTTTTTCTGCAGGGAATCAGACTCCATTCTTCTTAAAGCAGAAACAACATTTTTGGTTTTTCCTGTATTTGAAGAAGAGACTCCCTTTTCTAGAAAAAAGACGTTTGATGTTTCTTTTTTTCGTTTGGTTTTTTTTCTCATTCGTTCCTTTCAAAATATGCCTTGTGGTATGTTGAAATGTAAGTGCTGAAACGAAGAGTTTGAAATTGTGGGAATTTATTATTTGAAAGCGAACCTAATCTGGTATTCTCTGTGAAAGACTGTTTTAAAAGTCATACTGTTGTACAGTAGTTTATGCACTATTACCCACAACAACAAAAAATTGTGCCAAACTATGAACAAGTGACTGTATTGTATATATTTTTACTTCTCTATCAACATTGGGTTGTGAGTGTTTTCTGCAGCTATGCCTTTTGATTTTACTAGATACATTCCAGTTAAGTACTAACCACCCCCTTTGAAAGCACCTGTAACTCACAATGAAAACAATATTGTTCACTTATACAACTTACCAAAAGTTTTATGGACATAACTAAAAGTGTGCCAAATTTACTTACCTCATTTCATGGATTCACCCTGTGGTTTAAAGCTCATAAAGAAAAAAAAAAAGAAAAAGAAAAAAAAAGGAAAAAAAAAAAGGAAAAAAGGAACTTTGAAACTGATGCTGGGAAATTGTAATGTCCTCTCTTTAAAACCATGAGCAGAAAAACATAATGGTTAAATGTTGAGTTTCATTATAGGAGAGAGTTGAAATGGTGAAGGAGTTCAGAAAACACTCCAGGTAAGTTTGACAGGAACTCGAGTGTCTGCATCTAGAGACTACGAAACAGCTGCTTTTCAAGTGTCTGTTTTCTTAAAGCAAAACCTGTAGCTGAAGAGCATTTGAAATGCAAAGTTACATTGCTAATTCTTTGTATCTCAGTTTTATATATTTTATAATAACCTGGGATAAATTCTAAATAATTATAAAAACGGAACTAATATGTTTCATACATTTATTGCTATTTACTTTTACTTTGAGTAGTTTCTTAAATATTTTTGATGCAGAGCCTGTCAAAAGCGCTCTCATTTCATATCTTTGGTGTTTCCTAAATGTCTAACCTTGCAATGCCAGTATACTTTGAAATTTTGAAATCAGAATCATTAGTTTAAACACAACTCCGAGCCTTTCCTTTGATTCAATTCATAACGTAGGGAGGAAATCAGAACTATTGGTGATCTCACTGATCAGGGCCGGTTCATACATGACTGGACTTTGTTAGACACCATTAAGTATTGAATGCTAAAATATTATTGAAAGGCCTTATTTGTAACCCTACTCACTGCACCCTCGCCCTTCAAGAAAATAACAAACAAACAAACAAATAATCTCTTCCTTGTGCAACTGAGAGCCTGTGCATTTTGCTGCTGATTTCATATGAAACCTTGATATGCAAGAGACCTGCTAGCTGGGAGCTGTTGGAAGCAGGGGGGTGTGAGGCTCAGACACACTTACGCAATAGAAAGGGATGAGGAAATGGAGCCTTAATGTAGCCAACAGATCACTGTCATGCTCACAAGCATAGGGTGGTGTTGCACACATCACAGGACTGGACTCGGTTCTCTGTACAAGCCCATGCTGAAAGCCAAAGCATCAGGAGTGGCTGAACACAAGAGTTAGGTTGATTTAGCAAAAACATGGACTGTTTCTCATTGAACACTTGGAGATGCAAAGTGTCAAACTGGCATCGAAGTGTTTGCAGTAGTTGTGGATTCTCAGATCTTGAGATATAGCAATTCACAGAATCACAGAATCACAGAATATCAGGGATTGGAAGGGACCTTGAAAGATCATCTAGTCCAGTTCCCCTGCTGGAGCAGGAACACCTAGATCAGGTCACACAGGAACACATCCAAGCAGGTTTTGAATGCCTCCAGATAAGGAGACCCCACAATCTCTCTGGTCAGCCTGTTCCAGTGTTCTGTCACCTTCAACAGGAGAGTACAGCACAATGCATTACATTTTATTTGATGAAAAAACAGCTGGTGCAGGCAGGAGTGAGTGTCGATCCCACCCTGCCTCTGGAGTTTGGAAGGTACTTGGAATCTTGGATACAAGCACTATGCAAGGGCTCCAGCCCTGGGTGTTTGGCTTACCTGTGCCACGGTGCTTTCTCCTGCATCCCACTGTAGCTGTCTTTTCTATCCATACAGTCATTCAGGATCCAAGCCCTCAACATGTTCGTCCTGCACACTGAAGGGCTCCTGGCTCCATTCTTTGGTATATTGCAGCCACTGCTTTGCTACTGCAGGCCTGGAGTGAGAGTGTGGCATGCATGTCCCTTCTTTTTGATCCAGAACCATCCTTTGAGAGCGCTGGCCACTGGCCCACACTGTTCTTCATGATGAACGTTTAAGCTATGTGATCCATAACAAAGTAAGTTGTACTGGAACAGGTAGCAATATTTATTGCATTTGAGAAATGTGCAATAGGGCATGAATATGAGTCATAAGACATATCGGCTATTTTACTGTATATCATAGAATAGCTTTGGTTGAAAGGAACCTCAAAGCCCATCCAGCTACAGCCCCCTGCCATGGGCCGGCTGCCCTCCACCAGCTCAGGCTGCCCAGGGCCCCATCTTTCCCCTCTTTTAGTTTAAAACCATTCCCCATTGTAAAACGTGTGTAAAAAGTTGGTCTCCCTCCTGTTTATAAGCTCTGTGTAAGTACTGGAAGGCCACAATGAGGTCTCTCCAGAGGCTTCTCTTCTCCAAGGTGAACAAGCCCATCTGCCTCAGCATTTATTCTTAAGAGAGATGCTCCAAAATACAGAAAACCAAGGAATAACACAACTGCCAGACATTTCAGGACAGCGTTAGTTACAAATGCCTGCTGCCTTCTTTGCTGCTCTCCCTTCACTCCTTTTTTTCTTTGCCATCTTTGGTTGCCATCCCACATCCCCAGCAAAATCTCTGACCACGGAAATTTTCAAGACCCCTGATGCCTTCTCTGTGTCTGAAAGTTATACCCCTGTCAGTGTGCTCCAAAATTACCAAATCTGGGCAACTGCCTTGAGCCAAACATTTGTCCTTCTCCCTTTTGGTTCTGATCTCCACCTGCCTATCACTACCTCAAGATTTTAATCACTCCCACCTTTGCCTCATTCCTTGTCATAGAACTTCAGTTTTTCCCTTTCCTGCCCTTGTCAGGATTGTTCATTTTTCATTTCTCCACATGCTGCTTGCAGCCCTGGGATATTTGTCCCATCTTTCCTCCACCCTTTTTCCATGCACCCCTCAGGCTCATTCAGTTCGGCTTTCTCATCCAAAACTTGTCTGACCCCCATGCACTTCCAGCCATCTTTTGTCAGGCTCCTGGCTGTTCAGGGTGATTAATTCAAGCTACACAAAGGTGTTCATTCTGCATCATCCCTTAGGATGTCTACTGTACTTGATCTTGTTCCACTCCTGCTGTAGAGGCATCGTGTGAAGGAACCCTGATGTGTAATGCTTTGCTCTTGAACTGTGCCGTGCTGGACCACGGCAGCTGGGCAAACAATAGTCAGCAGCAAAATTAGAAAGAAAGTGGCTGCTTACAAAAAATGACTGTAAAAGTGGGCTGAGACCAAGTTTAACACAATCCTCAGTAGAGCGTGTGTCTCCCACAGGACAGAGAAAGCAGCCACTCTCCTTTGGGGAATATGTAGCAAGGACAATGTCCTTCCACGAGAAACCCTACAGCAAGCTGACAGCAGCCAGCTCACCCTTGATAGCCACAGTTTTGCTGGAGGTACTTGCATATAGAGGTTTTGTGAATATAAAAATATCTACGATGGGGATTCAAGTAATCATTAAAACAAAAAACAACAAAAAAAGCAGGTTTACATCTCGCTTTTTGTTTTTAATTTCTAAGCATAAGAGGTTTTCTTGAAAAATGGAGAGTTGTGAATTACAGACCAGGTTTAGCAAGGTATCTGATGGAGGGAGGTGAGCCATGCCACACGGTTCTGCCTGCTGAGCCCAGCCCTGCATGGAGAGGAAAGCCAAGTTCAGTCACTTGTGCAGCAGTTGCCGTGCAGCTGGTTTTTTAAAAAAATCAAGATCACTGTTATGTTTTTGGCATTACAGCTCAAATGAGCCAGGAACCAAAATCAAGACATTCTAAGAGTTTTAATCCCATGCCTGTTGGACCATGTTATTCCTTCTGTGAGGTCCCAGTCTAGCAAAGCACTTGGGCAAGAAGCACCTGCAGCAAACGGCCACCGCTCACCCGAGTGCTTTCCTGGACCACAGTCTGCTCTGGCGTGAGCCAAGAGAAAACTCCATTGAAATCAGTGTAAGTGAGAAAAGGATCAGGTGTATGGACTTCAGTTGGTGCAGGATCAGGCCCTTGGTCTTACTTTCTCAACTGAGTGTGTTGGAGTTTGCCTGTGCAGCTCCCAGAGTCCGGTGGCAGCTGCATGGTTCAAGGCGCTGACATCTATTTGAGAATGTGCCTCTTTATCTCTTCAGCGTGTAAAATAATGCAAAAAAGAATATATAGAGTAAACAAAGTACAATGTCTGTGGTAGAAGCAAGGCTTTTCAAATCTGTTTCTCAGGTAAACAAGTGACACTAATGACAGTGGAGTAAGAGCCATCTAAGGGAATTCAGATCTAGAAAAGGAGGATGTCCTCCATCCCACAGGATACTTGGGTTGCCAGACACGTTTACTGAGCCTTTGAACACTTGGTGCAAAAGGAAACAAGAAATAAAGTTTGTATTCACCGTTACCCTTCGATAGATAGGAAAAAAAGAAAAAAAAAAAAAAAAAAAGTATGTTTCAAAAGCACAAAGGGAAGACTTTAAAATAAAATAGAAAAAGGAAAAAAAAAAAAAAAAAGGATTCTGGTTAAACTCCTTTTGTCTTTTACTCCCCGTGGGAAGCAGGGTAGGAATTGAAGGAGATGCTCTGTTTCACATCCCACAGCGCCGGCTGCGGCTGTTCTGACTGCTGCCTACAGAGATTTGAATGTACTGCTCCTTGAGTTAACTTCCATAGAACTAGAGGCACCTCGCGAGTAAGTTGCTACTGTTTTATGGTGCTAAAGAAAACTTTTATCCCCCTTGAGCATTTAAGAAATATGAAATGGCCCTTTTTATGAATGTAACATATCCATTTCTGTTTAACATTTTACACTCCAATTTTAACATGTTTGGAAATTATTTGCCTTTTTTCTTTTAGAATAAGCTTTATAAATATTCTGTAGAGTCAATTGAAGTATAATTCTTAAGGATCACTCTAAGACGCCTACAAAATCTTGTATATTTTTAAGTGTGCCAATTTGTAAAATATTTTGTAAGTGTATATTTTTCTTAGAAAAGTGCTGTGAAGTGTTTGTATGTGTGAGGTTTCCCTTTTTTTGCACCTTCGGGTGTTAATAAAAGGATGTATACTTAAAAGTTTCTGGTTTTAAAAACCAAAATACAAAGAAAAATTAAACTTTTGTTGGAAATTTTGTAATAAAAAGAAATGTTGTGAAAGAGTGTAGTGATATTGTGTAAAGGAAACTGGAAAATTTGTGAGCGCTTTGCTGTTTTATAGATCCTCTTGTAAATTATTCTTGTAATATTTTTGGTTTTGTTGTTCTTGTTGCAAAGGTTTTAAATATTTGTGACTGACTCTGTATGGTGAAAATGTCATATTGTTAACTTGCTGAGTTTTGTTATATTGTTTATGGAATAAATAAAAAAAAATTAAAATCTCATTTTAAGATCATGTATGAAGAAGAAATTAAAACTGCCATTTATTGAATATTAGAAATTGTTTCTTTAAACAAATTGCTGCCCTCAGAAATAAATCACTAACTGTCCTACTGCCACTCGCACATGCACTCGTGGTTTCAGCCCTTTGGTTTAATTGGGCTCACATTAATTACTATAAATCACATTGGAAACAGGGGTGCAACAGAGGATTGGAAGAAATGGGAAAAAGTGCTCGGATGGCTTTTACTTCTCCACCTGAGGCTTTCTGCATTGAAAATGGAAACTTGGGCAGGAGCTGGAAGCAGTAGGGATCTGCCTCCTGGGGCAGGTCTGCCCAGGGCACAGAGGTTCCCTGCAGCGCAGGCTGGTTGGTCTTCTTTGTCTCTTGGAAAATATTTTTTTAAATTGCCATTCCTTTCATTAGCACTTCACGTTGATGGGAATGATGAGGTGAGGTGTCTCTTTCTGCTGGAAGAAAGCTGGGTACGGTGCCATGGGCAGTGAGCACTCACCGGGTTCCTGGGTCTGTCAACGAGGGAATGAGAAGCTACCTTCAGAAGTCAGATCTGGCACCTCTATGAACAGACAGCTGCCTGGATTCATGGACAGCCGCAGACAAGCACTGCCTCTGAAGCGCAGCCCAAAGTGATTGCACAAGATTTTGATGTTTCCCACGTTGTGTGGTGCCAATGCTGGTATGTCAGATGCAGAGTGATGAGTTGGAACTGTTGGCTGGTCTCTGTCCTCTGATATGTGCAAGGTGGTAGGGCTACTGGCCTGAGAGAGACAAGTGCTACCACTCTGGAGATGGTTTCAGCACAAGTGCAAATCCTGCACAAAAATCAGGAGATTGTGCATGCAGCAACATGCCTGGCATTGTTAATGACATCAGGGTGCAAGAGAGAGAATGCAAATGCTTTCCAAATCCTGAGCAGCATCAGGTCAAGGTGACTGAGAGTTTTAGATTTGCTGTGATTTATGGCCAACAGCGCCAGTGTGGCTGCTGGACTTGGGCTCTCACTGTGGGCATGGGGGGGCCACCCCGCAAGGGGAAGTCACAGGATGGGATGTGCTGAGGTGCTGCCAAGCACAACAAACATCCACAAAATGCTGCACAGACAAATGGAACTGCTCATTGGAATTAAAAACATTGCTCTGACTTCCCTACTGCTTCCTCCAGCCCCAGTCCTAAAGTTCTTTCAGTTTCTGACCCCTAAGTCCCAATGGAATTGTATTTGTTAGGAAACATCCAATTTCTTGGCCTTTCCTACAGCTGCGGTTCCTCCTGCATACATAGGGCAGCACCTGTGGGAACCTCACTGCCTCCCATTGATGTTTGAAGCTGAACCTGATAATGTTTAGGCTGCTCCTCAAAGTCAGTATGTTGTTTCAGTAGTTCCTTTGCTATGTTTTCATGGACTGTATTATAGAGATTGCAGGGGAGATCTACCAAACTAGTTGCAGTGTAAACAGAATGAATGATGTTGTAAACTCATTGAGCAGCTGAGGGGTAAAGCACATTTTTAAAGGCCAGTTTCACACACAGCTGTACCCAAACAGGCTTTTGCAGCTTGTTTCCTGCAGTCCTGCCTCCAAAACCTAATGCTTATACCATGAACACATGATAAAAAAACAATTCATGTGTTTACCAGCATGCTGCATTGGTAAAGTGAGAAGTGGGAATATGCTGCCCTTTGCACACAGAGCAGCACTGGGATCTGACAGAAATCACATGTGCTGTAGCAATTACAGGAGATAAGATTTGCTTCATGTCAGCCTCCTGGAGGTGAGGAGGGATGCTGGCAGCCATGCCAAGACAGGTTCTGGCTCTGCAGGGACCACCTGCCAGACCCCAAACTTCCTCCAACCCAGCCACAGCCACATAGGCTTTTACAGGTCTCAAATTGCAGGTGGGAACAGCCAGCACAAGCCACGTGGAGTTGGTGTTGATAAGGGCACGCAGGCTTTCACAGACAAGTTGCAGGTGTTTCAGTGGGGGGTTACACCTATAGCAGTATTACTTCACAAACATACTTTGTGTTGCACTGGATCAATAAAACACTTAAACATGCACTTTATCTTAAGCATGTTAGAGATTATATCACTCTTTAGCAGAGCATTTAAGTATGTGCTTAATTTAGGGATTTAATTAAGGATTTTAATTGTAGACTTCAGTATGTGCTTACCTGTTTGGCTGAATATGTGTGAGACTACTCCATGCTGAAGATTTCTACATACAGAAAGTGACTAATTCCTCTGGAATGAAAATGCTACATTATTCTTGCACAGTGCAGTTAAAATGTAAATAGGAAAATGCAAGAGACAGTTAACTCGATTCCTCCAGCTGAAAGCATTATCCATGACCAAATCTGAGTTGATTAAAATCTAATATAATTAGTTTTCACCTCTAAAGTGGCATTACAGATCAATAGAACAAGGCACTTTAAAAATGAGTCTCCAGCTCATAAGCTTTAATTATGAGAAAGGAAGGATTCACACATGCTCTCTCACTGGAGATAGAGACCTTGAAATGTAAATGGCCACCAAATAATGGGCTGTGAAGCAGTTTCTCCAGTCATTAGTGTTTTAAGCTGATTTCCTAAGGAAAGAGAGCTTCAGCAATTTGCATCATCAGCCTGCCTTTGGGGTCACTTCCATAGCTTTTGAATTCCCTGATAAATTTCTCCTAATTGGGGAAAGAGGGGATTCCAGAGACACAGAGCTCCAACAGGTTTGACACCAGCAAGCAGCTGGTCTTCCACTTCTGCAGGAGCATTGGTGCTATAGAACAGTTTGTTCCCACCAGCACTGGGACCACCTTGCTGTGGGGCTGAAACTTCACTTCTGCTTTCCTGCACTGCTGATGGTTTGGGATGCTCTAAAGCTCCGAATACACATAGGTCTGAGTTATCTGCTGTGACATTTATTTTATTGCATGCCTGGAAAGTGCATGTAATTTAAATGCACAACAGTGATACCAGTCTGAACTACAGGAGTCACTGATTTACTGCCAAATGCAGTGAAACGTCTATGTTGTTTCTTTGCTTTTCTGCTTCTTTGGGTTTTTGTCATTTTACTGTTCCTTGCTGAAGTTACATAGTAAATGATGCAAGGGAAGATGTGGTAGCTGTCTATGAGGTTTTGGAAGATGTAAACTCTTGCAGATGTGAGAGAAGGAAATGAGACTCAGAATGTTTGGAGGAAATTGAAAAAAGGGAAAATGTCTAAATCCTCACAATGCAAGAAAAGTATTCTAGCAGTGTTTGGTGGCATTCTGCACC